TAAATGTACATGTTTAATCTGAAAGCGGATGGGTTTGAGACAGAAAATTTCCGTAAAATCTTCTGAATAATTCTGTTGGCCCATCCTGATTAGTTTAAAAAAACAGGGGTTATCTTGCAAGATTTTAAGAGTTTCCATTCACATTCAGCTGTTACATTACCAAAGCGGTATTGTCTAAATTTATCTCATAGTATTTGTGTGACCTTTTAATTACCGCGTTAGTCTCTTTTTTTTTTTTAAGTATTGACACAAAAGCTGTATGTGGTTTATTATATCAGCCTGCAACGTGCAGGTATGTAAAATGTCACTTGTGTGTAGTTTAAAGTTTATGTATAAATAAGATGGGTGTTCTTTATAAATGTCAAGTTTACAGTACATTTTTGATAGAAAGGTAGAAAGGGCTGTGGTGTTCAGCAAAGAGAATCACCAATTTAATACAATTCATATACCTATACATGCGTCCAGAGTCTTGCATTATTTGTTTTACACCAGCATCACCATAACTTACCCTGTCTCTTCCGTGTATTCATCTCTTTAGCTAGAGCAATAAAATCATATCACTTTCCCCACATTGTAATGCCCTTCTTATTATTTTATTCAGTTACCATCCCTGTCACTAGATGTGATAATTCTGCTGTCATAGTTACATAGTTAGATAGCTGAAAAGAGACTTGCGTCCATCAAGTTCAGCCTTCCTCACAAATGTTGTTGCTGTTGATTCAAAAGAAGGCAAAAAACCTGTTCTGAAGCGCTTCCAATTTTGCCACAAACTAGGAAAAAATTCCTTCTTGACCCCAAAATAGCAGTCAGATGTCTCCTTGGATCAAGCAGCTATTACCCCACTAATTAGAAATTATATCCCTGTATGTTATGTTTGTTAAGACACCCCTGGTGTCTTTAAGAGAAACCGCTGTTTAGTTAACTTTCCCCTTTCGCAATATCAGTAACTCTGTTCGCATAGACTGCAGTATACGAACCACCATCAGAGGAAGCGGTAATCTCCCGACCGGGATCCGTGAAAGGCTCCAAACTCCCGAACGGAAATCCACGAACTGCTGCTAGCTGCCGAACAACGATATCCACCAAGCGGCTTTCGGTTCCAATAATCAGTCTCTAAGCTCTGCATTGAGGGTCAAACAGGATCTGGCTTTACTGTGGGCTACCTGCCCATATTTATGCAGGTCTCCCACTTGTGGGACACTCCCCTAGGGGACCAAATGGGAGACTGTAATGACAGATAGACATGGGGACATTTCAGACATACAGATGTAACCTTTTCCCACAATGCAATATGGTTTCCTCCCCTCTGCCCTGGAGATAATTGAGAAGTAATTCAATTATCTCCAGGACAAAGACAAATCTCCATCTTAAATAAAATACCAGAAAATACATAAAAATACATAACTTTAAAATAACCGAACATTTCCCATTCGCATCACATATCCCCAGATAGCCTGGATCTGAGTGCATATTATTGGCGAATAGCGCTCAGATCCCACACACATAGTTCAATCGCCATGGAGTCAAAGTCCTTACAGTCTTTCGGTATGCGATTGACTCCAGGGCTATCTGGGTTAAGTCCTTTCGTGTGTTGTAAAACTCCCGAACGGCCGGTGTTCATACGCTTTCGTCGAGGCAGCCAGGCGACCCGTTGTTTCAGCGTTGTTCAGCAGAAAAAGTGTCCGTTTTTAGTTTCATGAAATCAGTGCCAAACACCGCTGGGCTTTCATGTGTTTTAAAATGGCCGCTGCCTCGTGGTCGACATACGAACGACAGCCACCCTGAATTCAGTTTAATTGAGAAGTGTCTGCGGTTAACCACAACGTTCTAATTGGGATCAAGAGGTTAACCAGCAGCACACTTCTATCCTGGGTGGCCATCCGTTCGGTAGATTTGTTCGGTGAAAACAGTCATTCGTATGGCTGGGCTATAGAAACAGCCATTTACACGAAAGGGGGCAGAAATAGACGAATCCACCACAATAGACAGACAGATGGTTCTGTCACAATGTTTTTGTAAGTATTTATCCAATTTCAGTTTAAACATCTGTATGGACTCTGACAAAACCACCTCTTCAGGCAAAGAATTCCATATCCTTATTGTTCTTACTGTAAAAAAAACTTTTCTTTGCCTTAGATGAAATCTCCTTTCTTCCAGCCTAAATGTGTGACCTCGTGTCCTATGTATAGCCCTGTTTATGAATAGATTTCCAGATAAAGGTTTGTACTGGCCCCGAATATATTTGTATAAAGTTATCATATTCCCTCTCAGGCGCCGTTTTTCCAAACTAAACAGATTTAATTTTTTTAACCTTTCTTCATAACTAAAATGCTCCATTCCTTTTATCAATTTTGTAGCTCGTCTCTGGACCCTCTCCAGTGCCATGATATCCTTCTTTAGAACAGGCGCCCAAAATTGCACAGCATATCCAAGGTGTGGTCTTACCAGCGATTTATAAAGAGACAGAATTATAAATTTTTTCTCTGCTTCTGCCATAGAACTTTCACTAACCAGGATAAGGATGTAGAATGAGATACATAGAGTGTTTCCAACTGTTTATTTATTAGATATTGTAGATATATTTATATAGTTCCATTTCTTGGCATCTTCATAATTATACATGGTTTATTTTTATTTGCTTGCAGTACAGGGCTTCTTTGCAGACTGCAATAGCAGCAGGTAATTCCTATTCAGTAGCTTGGTGTGATTGTACATTGTGAAGCCACAAATAAAACCAAGGATGGGATACTGCAGCACTTATAAATGTCATTTTGAAAAGTACTATAAATATTATTTTGAAAAAAAGTCCTTTTGTGCTGCTGACACTCCTACCCATTGTTCCTCAGCCAGTGGGTTGGTGATCACGGTTCCTCAGCCAGTGGGGTGATCATGGCCGGAGACCCCAGCAGTCCCCCGGCAGCAGCTCCTAAAAAGTTAAAAAAAAATTTACAAAAATAAATGTTATACATATATTATATATGTGATATATTATAAAATAATTAAAGCATTTTATAATATATTATACATTTATAGTGCATATATAGGATTTCATTACAAGTGTACTTTGAGATATATACACAAATATCTCAAAATACACTTATAATGGAATCATATGTGCATTATATATGTATAATATATTATAAAATGCTTTAATATAATATATTATACATATATAGGAAATAAAAGTGTGTGTGTGTGTGTATATATTTATAATATTTTAATAAAAAATGAATAAATTGCTAGCTTTGGCCAGCGTTTGTGACTAAGTGGCTACTACAAAATACTGGACATACCCCATTTTAAATACCCTGGGTTGTCTACATTTGAAAATGGTATGCCATGATGTGGTTATTTCAAATTCCTGGGCTACCGTATGGTCTCAAAATGCAACACAGTCCCAGCAAACCAATTTGGCAAACTGAATTGGGCAAGCCCTATATTGACCCTGTAACTTTCAAAAACACCATAAAACCTGTACATGGGTGGAATTGTTATGCTTGGGAGACTTCGCTGAACACAAATATGAGAGTTTAAAATAGTAAAACCCATCATGACGATGAAATCACCAGCAAAAGTGCAGATTTTGTGTAAAAAAAAATGCAAAAACCAAATAAAAACGCTAACTTTGGCCAGGGTTTCTGGCTAAGTGGCTACTAAAAAAGATTGGACATACCGCATTTTGAATAAGATTTAAGATGTAAGTAAGATGTTACTATATTTAGGGAGGCAAGGAGGGGGTTAGATGGTGATTTTAAACAATATAGGGTCAGGAATACATGTTTGTTACAAATTTTTCCAGGAACAATAGGTTGATAAGGACCCTGCTCAAATGAGTATTACCCTTAATTATCAATATCTATGTGTATCAAAATAGTATTTATTTTTGTACGGTAATGTTTCAAACATCCCTAAAACATTGCATTACAATTTATACCATATAATCTTTTAAAGACTTCATCTCTGTAAAGTATTATTGAATGAAAAACAGAAATATGCTACCGCTGTGAAACTGTTGATTTTACAAAATATAAAAATGTGCATTACTAACAAATGCAACAAAGTATGATGCAAATGTTTATCAATCCACCCTGTGGAGGCTGTTGTGGTGCACCAGGGATGCTTGTTAAGTCTGTGCACGATAAAAAAAAAGAATAAAAAAAAAAAAAAAGAAATATGCTATCTTACCTTCAACCATTTCAAATGGACAAAGAGGGACACTTTAATTTGTGTGAGTGGGGGTGTGACCAGGGTTTGGGGCTTTTCTGATTAATTTTAGGTGACTTACTAATAATAATTTATGCAACTAAAATCTATTTAGGACAAGAACATTGTATCGTATTTACTAATTTCTAAAAAATTCATTGTAATTTTAAAAGACACGTTAGCATATACTATTGGGGCATTGCAAGCATGTATTGTATCTCTATGCATAACCAAAAAAAAAAAGACACGTTACTGTGAGTATTATTGCTGTGGAGCTCTGTTATACACTCAGACACACCAACAATATGGAGCTACTAGAAAAGAGTGACATTAGGATAGAAATGAGGGACAGAGGGTTTGGAAAGCCAAATAGGGACTTTCCCTCCTAAATAGGGACAGTTGGGAGGTATGTGTCACATGCATAGCATTTAAATCTATTGAAAATTTAGTGTACAAATAATTCCCTCAATAATATATAATTTTGGCCACCAGGTGTCACTACTGACTCATTTTTAAAACGTGAGTAGTAACATGAGCGTAAGAAAGCATTGGTTTTCTCAAGTGAATCTCACATTGCTTTTTCTTGTTAGAAATGTGTTAGGGATGTGTCTTGGCCACCATTTGGAATGGCTGCCATCTAGAGGAGCTCCTGGGACACTGGGACAATAATGTTCCAAAAGTGTCAGCTGAAATTTGATTTGACCTAATCTGAGCATCAATATCCCTTTACTAACACTCAGACAACATGCAGAAACAAACAAGTACCGAAAAGAGTGCTTCAAATGCAAAGAAAATCAATGGAGGTGCTGCAGGGGACTTCTTGCTCAATCCCCTTCCTCAATGCCGAGCTTGCGGTTTTTTTCACCGCTAAAATCATCATCGGTGGCAGTGGGAAAGCCTCTCCCTCCCATCAGACCTTTCATACTTGCACATACACTGGTGCAGTCACGACCTGCTCGCGGCTTAATCCTCGCGGTGGACTAGCAGTCGCATCAAACGCGAGCTCAGACAGCGGCCCCACGCGCTCCGAGAGGCTGACATGCTCGGAGCGTCAGAAAATCTTACCCGCGAGCAGCAAGGCGTGCAGTGACACCTGCGGAAGCCCGGAATTGACAGCCATGAGCGGCGGAGTGTGCAGAGAGAGCCACGATAAGCTCAATGTTAAAGCAGCCCGGTCACTAGTGTATAAAGCTGACCAGGCTGAAGGGGGAGGAGGCTAGGAGTGTGAGATCCAGGTCCCCGCCGGAACCCTCGGCCTCACAACCGTCAGTACCGTCAGGGGGTGGGCTTCAGCCTCTACCTCCCACATGGTTAAAGGGGCACAACACAGCCCTGCAGGATTAAATATTGATATGGCAGAAGATGAGCCTAATAATGTAACTTATTCACCACTGCCACAGAGGGTGAAGTAAGATGCCACTACCAAGATGGCTGCCATCAGGTATTCTTCTGCTACCACATCCAAGATGGCCACTGCCACCTCCAAGATGGCCACCACTAAAATTAAAGCAGACATACAACCTAACTATGCCACCTGAGTTGGCTGCGGATTTGCCACCATCGGCTGGCATGCTGATTGACCTAATACAAGGTTTGAGAGTGGATTTAAAAATAATTTTAAAAAGGACTTTGAAGCAATTTATGACATCATGGATGACATTAATCAGTGAACGGAAGAAGTGGAAAACAAATTGCATTATCAGGAACAAGTGGAGAAATTAGCAGATGCCGAGGACAGGAGTAGACGCAACAATTTAAGGATCAGGGGTATCCCTGACAATATTGACAATATGGAACTGCCAAATTACTTTCAAAACATGGTGAGGGCAGTTAAATCAGCTGCCACTGATTCTGAACTGCTAGTGGATCGTATTCACAGACTGCCCAAACCAAGTAATGCACCTGCGGTTGCACCCAGGGATATAATAGCGAGGCTTCACTATTATCACAACTTAAAGGTCTTTCAAGATTTTTCAGCTCACACCATGAAAAAGCGTAGGGTGTTCCAGCCTTTTACGTCGGAGAGGGGTCAGATATAGGTGGGGATTTCCGGTTAAGGTTCTTTTTCGTATGGATGGCTTAAACGTTATTATCACAACACGTGAGGAAGGTATGAAGGTTCTTAATTCCAGATGTCCCGTGTTTTCTCACATACACTATCACCATCTACTTCCGATCAGCCCAGCAAAAGGAGTAAGCCAGATGCTCCATAAAAATCAACATAGTTTTTGTTCTTCAGATTTCCTATTATTACGTCGCTTGACTGATCGCTTCAAGGTGCGAAATAAGTTTCGCACAATCTTTCTGTGCACATATGCAAGAAGTATAATTCTTTTTTAACAGTATTGCTGAAATTGCTTATATCCTTCTTGGAGTGCAGTGGATCGGACTCTCCCATTATTAAGAGATTTTACTCTCTAGTATTTAAGGTTCATAGTATAAATCACGGTTTTAAAGTTTTTGTCATTTAATGTGAGAGGCCTGAATACCACGCACAAGAGAAGATTACTATTTAAAGAAGCTAAGTCCTGCAAGTCTGACATCATCTGTGTCCAGTAAACGCATTTTAAGGATGATTAAGAGTACAAGCTTATGTCAAAGCTTTTCCCAGTCCAATCTCATACTGTCTTTAAATCTAAATCCAGAGGTGCATCAATTTTTTTCAACAGGAATGTGGCATGCTTAACGGACAGAGTATTAACGGACAATGACAGGAGATATTTGCTGTGGATAGGTAAAATCAAAAATGTTGAGTACACAATTGTGAATATGTGGAAAACAACTCTAAAAGCCAATTCCAGTACAATAACAAAAGTGAACATCAAATTTGACATATACCAAAGCAATGCGCTATCCCCAATGTTGTTCTGCATAAGCCTCAACCCCCTTAGCCAGATTATCATGAAGAGTGGATACGGATACAGGTTCAAGAACGGAGCTACCATCAGCCACCAACTCTACATGGATGACATCAGGTTGTATGCTAATCGTGAGCAGGACATTGACTCTCTATCCGACTAACTAAGTTATACAGAAAGGACATCGGAATCTCATTCGGACTAGTTAAGTGTTTGCGGATGATAGCAAAAAAAGCAGAAAGAAAAATACCTTTAAAACATACAAAATCCCTACAAAAGTTATATCCCCTGATACCCTCGATCTGGGTGAACAACATATCCAAAAATCACCCAGATCGGTTCAGGGGTTCAGGAATTTCCTGGAAGTCATTATTTTGGCCGACCACATGAATGGTCCAATGCCCAAAACAGTTCCATAGAATCGCGGCTAAGTGCCGCTGAGGGACCGACTGGGAACCATGACATTTTCTTTCTTTTTTTTTTTTTTTTATTAATTTTTGACAATTTACATTTTACCAAAAAAAAATTGCAAAGTTTTCATGCCGAAAATAGTTCCGGGTCATTCGCGGCTAAGTCCCCCTGAAGTCTATTCGCGGTTTTGGTCCATGCGAATGGCCGCCAGTGAGCTAGCGTTCAGTTCTATGGAAAGTGCAGAACCAGAGAAACCAGGGGGAATAAAATATGGGTCTTTACAGTTGCTGACGTGGCCCATAGTATTTTGGCAGGAGGCTGGCAAGCAGGCCCCTCCAAAAGCTTGTGGCGAGGTTCTGTTCAGCTCACTGATGTTTTAGCTGCCATTGGACTGTAATTGGACTGTAATTTTCTTACACAAGCGCTAAATTATAATAGTGTGTAATTGTTTAGGAGAATATATAAGTATATCGTCAAGATACACCAATAGAAATGATTAAATAAATTCTCTAAGCACATCGTTTATAAGATCCTGAAACACGGCTGGGGCATTACAAAAGCCAAAGGGCATGACTAAATACTCATAATGCCCATTTCTGGTTTTGAAAGCCGTTTTCCACTCATGACCCTTTTTTATCCTCACCAAATTATACGCACTCCTAAGATGAGTATGGTAAAAACTTTGGCACCTTGGAGTTTCAAATAATTCTAAAATGAGCGGTATAAGATGTGCATTTTTCACAGTGATCTTATTTAAAAATGCGAAATGGAATGGGTTTTTAATTTACAGACTCTCACTCCCAATGGTCTCAATACAGACTTTGATCTGTTCAATTTTATCTAATTTAATCTATGCATCTCTTTTTTATATGCTTCTAATATTACGTGCACTGTATGTTCTTATTTCTATTCCTTTTTTTAAAATATTTTTTTATTTCCCGTTTTCTCTATTTTATTTATTAATTTTATTTTTCATTTTCTAATTGACCATGTTTTCTAAAAGTGTTTTTAATATATTTATTGTTATATTTCTTTCCCAACATGGCCTACTTATCTTAACCACACCCCCTCCCCGTCCGGTTTCTGACGAGAACCGAGTCATGAGGCTAGCTCTCATGTCGGCAAATGCATTTGCCGATGTGTAGTTTACAAACCCAGCACTACAGCCCCCATAAGGCATAGCAGATGGGCAATTATGACGCGCTGATGACGCGCATCACGTGTTTCGTGCTCAATGCCGAAAATAAACATATAAAACGCTTGTTTTATATAAAATTGTATATATTAAGATACCCTAATGTTAGATCTTCAAATACTTAGATGTCTTATGTTATTTATAGTCAAACATATACTGCCCAATTATTGGACGAAGCATTTCTGGTGCCAATTTTAATTAGTTTTATACCTATATAAACCCTAACAAGCCCTAACAGCCAGGTTGAATGTTTTACTCCATTGATAAAGCCTATATGGTGAAACCCGTTGAATGGATGTAATTGTTTTTTAACTAATAAATAGATTTTGGTCACTTTAGTATTTGTGCCACTATCTTTTATTATTTTATTTTATTTTTATTTTTTATTTTATTCAATCGTAAGACCTGTGAGGAGGTAAAACATCAGTATGTACTTTGTTAAAGGACCACTATAGTGCCAGGAAAACATACTCGTTTTCCTGGCACTATAGTGCCCTGAGGGTGCTCCCACCCTCAGGGACCCCCTCCCGCCTGGCTCTGGAAAGGGGAAAGGGGTAAAAACTTACCTTTTTCCAGCGCTGGGCGGAGAGCTCTCCTCCTTCTCTCCTCCTCCGTTCCGCCCCGTCGGCTGAATGCGCACGCGCGGCAAGAGCTGCGCGCGCATTCAGCCGGTCGCATAGGAAAGCAATGAGACAGCCACTAGAGGCTTTGGGGGAAGGCTTAACCCATTAATAAACATAGCAGTTTCTCTGAAACTGCTATGTTTATTAAAAAATGGGTTAACCCTAGAAGGACCTGGCACCCAGACCACTTCATTAAGCTGAAGTGGTCTGGGTGCCTAGAGTGGTCCTTTGAACACTTCTTTAACCTCAAAATAGGGGACAGGAACCTCAGTAGAAAGAGGAGCACTAGTAGGTACATTTACTGTGCCCAAGCTCTTAGAAACAGGTTGAATACACTTAAGTCTACATTCACCACCCGATTCTAAAATCTCACCCTTAATCCAATCAATACGCGGATTGTGCTTGATAAGCCATGGGAAACCAAGTATTATGGGACAAGAAGGAGATGAAATAACATGCAAGGTGATAAGTTTCTTATGTAAAGTCCCTACTGTTAAGGTGAGAGGTAAGGTTTCCTGTGTGATCAGCGGTTGGGACAGTGGTCTACCATCTATGGCCTCAACGACCAAAGTGGTGGTTCTTTCTTTGAGCGGCACTACATGGTTGGTAACAAACTGTTGGTCTATAAAGTTTTCAGCTGCATCAGAATCAACCAAAGCATCACACGAGAAATTAACATTATGGTTTTTGGCAAAAACAGAAAGCATAAACCTATTATGAGGCATACCAGGAAACATATACATCACACCTAAGGCCAGTCCCTGGAAGGTTCTTAGGTGCGCAAGTTTTCCGTCCGAATAGGACAAGCTATTCTCAAATTACCCTTTTTTCCACAATATAAACAGTCCTTTGTCCTTTGTTTCTCCAATATAGTTTTTCAGCCTCGGATAATCTCATCACCCCTAATTGCATGGGTTCGGGTTCAGGAGGGGGAGATGGAGCAGGTAAAACAGGAGTGGATAAACGGGGGGCAATAGACAAGTTGGAACGTCTATTCTATGTCTAGTTCTGTCTCTATCTCTTAGACGGTTCTCAATATGCATCATGTAAGTGATATACTTATTCTCAATATGTTTTTCTTGTAATTCTTTAGCAGCAGTCTCATCAAGTACTGCATCAGACAGACCTTCGGA